TAACTGTTTTTAGGTTTTGGCTCCATGGATATGGTATGAATAATATCCCATTTAATAGTTCTAATTTGATTGGGTTTTACATATACAAAAATTTATACTTTTCAAATCGTAACACTACGTGAAAGAAGGTTCCAGTGAAAAGATTTACAATTAATAATAATAAAGCCCAACTTGAACTATTTATTGCTGTTTGGAACGGTACTGTATGCTTGAGAGTATGAAATCTAAACATGCACGAAGTGCAGCAAAATTCTTTAATAAGTTGACAAAATCTTGCTTTTAATGCATTAGCCATAAGTCTTGCAATAGATTGCTTGGGGAAACAGATGTGCATGGGTGTCCATTTGCATTCATATTAATAGCTTTAAAGAACAAGCAATTTGGCAATTAACATGGAAACAAAAAGAGGTCAAATTTAATGCTTTTTCATAACACTATTCGTAAACAAGCATTGTATCCGTGGTACACTTAGGCCTTTGTCGTCAGAACAGAAATCGAGACTAAAATGGCATAAACGATGTTTGAAACCACATTCTAGTGGAACCTGTTAAGAACGATTAAGCAATGGTCAATATTTGCGTGGCCGTATGTATTCAGCATGACACAGCTATTAAGAAACATTACTGTGCACAGCTTGCTTTAGTCTAAATATACAGATATTTGATAGAAGTAAGCTGGCGTTGTTCGCTTCCCTATCTGGAATGGCAATTCATAAAGAACTCACACAGCGCAAAACAAGATGACGCCCAGCAGTGCTAATTAAGCTTTTACAAATAAATAAACAAAACAATTTTAGGGAACGTAAAGGCTCCTGCATCTGGAGTGTTTTTGGCTGAATATTTATTCGTAATAGTCTTGTGATTACGACTGATAATTTCTTTAGAGACTTTACAAATGCATCGCCAAACTGCATGACCTTTCAACTATGACAAAATATAATCGGATTTCCCTCTTCAAGTAATTTATTTAAGTGGGTATTAATTTTAAGCTCCACATTTGGTAACCCTAACCCCGGCGCAATTATATGACTTTGATGGAAACAGACACAATTATACAACAGTATAAACCATTCACTACACTCCAGTAAGCGATCGTGTCAAATGTTCGGTTGTGTGTTAATGGAGAAGAATGAAAAAGGTTGCAGGCTCTGATATATTTGCTCAACTTATAATTTCCGGAACGAATTCTTGCATTTTAATATCAAAATGAAAACAGCCTCCGCAATTGGAACAAAACCGCATCGTCATAAAACGATATATCGTATAGAAAGGGTGTATCTTGTAAAAAGTCATGCAAGTACTTATGAAACTATTATCACTGACAAATTATTATTTCCATCCCTTTTCTTTCACTGAGATGCAATCTTTATAATGACCCGACCTATTAAATTCGAGTCTTTCGTGCATGGTGCATGATATCATTTCTTTCAAAGGAAAGCATTGTGGTTTACATCGAGATGAGTTAACTAGACACTAGATTATAGACAGATAGTTCTGAAATACAGAAAGAAAAGATCGATAGTTGATTGTATTGATATCGATTATTTGCACGGATTTGCCCATTTAAGGTATCAAATATCGATATTCAAAAACACATTCCCAGTTGTGTAATGCATGAATGATGTGTTGCGGTGATTTGAAATAAACACCATATATTACAAATTGTATTGTACAACTTCTACCACGACATTATGTATAGTAAAGGAAATACACCACACATTATGTAGTAAAGGAAATACACATCATGAAACGTATACACAGCTTAGCACAGCGTGTAAGCAATGCATCTGCCACTTATAAACTCACTACATGATCGATTGTTATTTTCTTTCGTCAATAGGAAATGTTGCATTATTCTTACACATACATTGTGTTATGTTTGGCGTTTTATAATAGACCCCACGATGTAGCTGGGGGCTTTCTCGTTATCTGTTCAAACAGAACATTTACGATGACAGATTAGCATTAAATGCATGCTTCTAAAACTGCTTCTCAATTTATCTCACAATGAAAATTTACTACAAACATGGTCTATTTCTATATCTCTGTGTGTAGTAAAATAAGCATTGTCTCAAAATGCGTCATACGTTTACGCGAACAATCTGGGTTTTCGATGTATACAAACACTTAAGTGTATTTATAAAATGCGCAAAACAACTATGAACCATACGCGATTGTGTCAAAACGTCCGAAAAGCACTTGGAAGTAAACGATTTGACACAATGGTTTTTAACCTCAGTGATAAATATCTAACAGCCTCTTCAAAGCCACACAATAGCAACACCGTGATGGTTCCTTGATAATGAAGGGTTTTTTATTTGTCTTTTAGATTTAGTCATTTAGGCCAGAAAAACAAATAGTGAAAACAAGCAAAAGCCACAAATATGTCGCACATATCACGTCAAAACATAGATACCAAAGCAAAAATAAGTCATACAGTAAATTTAATGGTACTGTAATATTACTTAAAGTTACAGTACAAGATATGTGCAGTATCGAGTATCCTTTCATTCAGAATTATAAAATTATTCTGCTAATTATCATTATCAGACTAAAATCGGCATGTATCACACATATGATCAGAAAAGTGAACAAAATTAAAAATGAAAATTTTTATCGATAACCAAATTTAAGCCGGCATTCAATTTATAAATGGCACTATATAAGTAATAGCAAATAAATGCCCAACCTTGGCCTTGCTTTTTAAAGTTAACAAAGGCCGCCTATGTAGGCGAAATGAAAACCATTTTTATATTATAGTACACAGTTTTAGGACTTGACGTTTATTAAAGCACACGAAATTTAATTCAGCACTGTTTTACAGAAGGGACACAAAAGAACTTAAAATTCTTCATTTAAATGTCAAGTTAGGTCATTTCATGTTTTTGCTATTATGAAGTCAATTTTCACATACACATTAATTAAAATTCTAAATTTGTCCTAAAATTTAGGATTCAAAGAGGAGAGTGCACCATAGTTTTTCTATTCACCGTATAGTCTAAATTTTATGATGAGTTTTTTCTCGAAAACTGCCAGAAAATAGTGAATCGCGTTTTTTCTCTATTAATAAATTATTGGCACAAAAAGTGGGCGCATAACTGAGCAGTTAGGGACATAAGGAGGGAATAAATAAATTATTACTAAACTGATACAAAATCTAAATCGAAAAATCTGGCGTGAAATAACTTTCGAATTCGAGTAGTTTACCAAAAAAATCCTCAACACTGTTATACTTATGAGTACGGGTTGTCGTGTTTTAAATTGTTTTCATGTTTGCTTATTCGTTTCTGAATTTGCTTCGTAATTACGCGAGAGTCATCATACATAAATAATTAATGATAACAGTTCGCAGGATCTCACGCTGGACAAGTGGTAAATAATTCATCGATAAACATAAACCCAAGTCTCGTTTTATTCTCAAATAGATGATTAATTTAAGAAAAACAAATATTCTTCATATATCGCAGCTCGCTTCAAATATTCTTCCCAGTAACTGGTTATGTCCTCTCGTTACAAAGTGAAATGATTTTAAGGATTAATGATTCAATGATATTTGGGGAAAAAACGAACACCGATTCGAGACGTTTCGCGAATCAAACATTTGCGGTGCATAGCGCGGTCACAAAAGATTTTCTGCGGGGGTTTGTTACTAAATAATTAAACAGCAAGCGGGATTCTCTTAAAGTAGAAACAAGATATCAAAGTTGAATACGATATTATATTGAAAATTGCGGCAAAGTGATAAAATTTTATCATGTCAGAAATCGACAACATATCGAGTTTACTCTTTGGCGCCAAAGCAACAATGTCAGACGTGTTAAAAAGCGGCCAGCTTGCGACTAATTTATTTGTTTGTGCGCGGAGCGTTGGACTTGTGAGTTTGTATCCCGTTGTACAAACATAATCATCAAGTAGGCCTATATATAAAATATCACAAAGCCTGTCTCTCTAAGAAGAATACAGCAGTGATTTACACAATGCTGCTAACACAATCAGTTTTAGAGTGAGTCTCTTCCCCTGGCGTTATCAAACAAAATACAGATTGTTAACTCAGCTTGACATGCGCTTTTGTCAATATTGCAGTTTCCTAATGTTATAATTCGTCAATACAATATGCACATTGTGAAGTAGTGAGTATAAACATATATTTCTTAACGGACTTCACCGCATGTATTTATCTATCTCTTACATACACTCGTGTTCCTGTCAGCCTAATCTCAATCGGCCAGACAAAGGGACCCCAAAAAGATAAGTCACTGATAAGTCGCTTGGTAATAACATATCCTACTCATGTGAATATTGCAAACGTAAATCCACTTTCGATTAAGGAATACAAAAGAAGCAATCTTGCAATCAAAAGTCGGCTAATCTTCTTTCATTTATCTTATGAAGGTGAAGTCTTTGAAGTCAGCAGACGAATGTAAATTGAATCGCTTTTTAAAAATTCAAATTCTCGATTCCGGCGATTTAAAGCTGCACAAAATGACTTCGGAATTGTTGAACAAAGATAATAAACCGTAAATTGTTTGCTTTTTTTGTGTGGTCCTAGCATTTAGTCAACAAACTAAACTCGTGCGCGAAATGTGTGTGTTTTGACAGTTGGCCATGCATCCGGTAAACTATAACACTTCAAGCGTAAACTTTAACACTTCAAAACGCACACATGTCTCTCAATTTCACATCACGCGATTTATCACGCAGTTATTCAGAATAACTTTGCCTCGCTAATCTGTTTACACTCGTGTAGCTTCTTCTAATATGATAGCGTGTCCTAATCATGGTGCAAAGGTATGCAAGAACTGACGAAATTCCCATACGATCGTGATAAAATCATCGCATACAAAATATTTCTTTCGAAATTTCTTTCGTCCGCGAGTGTGAACAATTTTGATACATGGATACGGTCGATTAATTTGCATTCATCATAACAATCGTAAACGCGAGTAGATTTAACGACCTGTAAATTAAAAAACCTAACTGCATTGATATACGCGCACTCACCAAGCACATGTAGCTTTGCAGCCCTCGATAGAGTTTTCCAAGCATTTCCAGTATCGCTTATTTCGCACAGGTATTCCCCTTCGTCTTCAAGAGTAACGTTAACGATTTGTAAACTGGCTTGCCCGACGATCTGAACCCGACCACGATACCTATCTGGCATTTCCGACGATCTTTGTGGCTTTCTGTATTTCTCATACTCAATGGCGCTGAAAAATATCTTATCGAACGTGGATACTTTAGGCGAAATGTGCTTCGAGGTTCCCCATTTTATATCAACGTCCGTATTTTTAACATAGTACTTCCACAGAAATTTTACGGTTTCATTCACTACAACTTGTGTCTCATTGGGCCATGTGACGAAATCTAGTTCGAATGAATCTCCGCTGCATACTATAGAACAAACAACAAGAACTGTTTAAATCACGGAATTTTAGATTATTTTATATAGGACAGCCCGATTTCAAGACAGACAATTTCAAGTGTTATATATAACTCCTCATATAAATTCATATAAACTCGGACATAGTAAAATATATTGACTTGGCCTTAGGAGTAAGGGACCACGGGCAAGATAGTTGATCAATTTTGATTACAAATCATTATTCGTAATTGAAAATTATTTTCCGTATCTCAGGATTCACAATATATACTGTACAGCGAGATCTATAACAGCAGATTAAATTTAGGATGCGACATTTTATAGACCTATGATTTCACAAACCTATCGAGTTTTATATTGACGCAACAATGAAATTTAAAAATGTTATTGTCACGTTTTCGCGGACGACTCGTTTACTCCTAACTTACTTACTTACCCCGAGTGACGCTGATGAATACGACTATAAATATGCTGCAAAATTTTCGCATCTTTTTTGTTGACCACAAGGAAGCGTTTCAAAATCTTGCGAACAATTTCTGATGTGTTAAGTGTAATATAAATCCCTCGATCGGTCGTCGATAGAGCGCATGCAATCTAGCCGCATGCAATAATCTTCGATACTCTCCCTTGCAAATGTAATTAACGTCTCGCAGCGCCCGTCCAACAGCAGCATTCACTGGAAATAATAAATTAGAACACATCTAAATATTGCCACTCGTGATTTGAAACCTGGGGACGAGGCCACAACAAAATGATATGTATGATAATGAATCGAGCCGGAACAGGTGGTTTTCCCGAAGCAGTCAAAAAGATGTTTTGTTGTGAAATTTCGAGGTATAAACAACACAAAGCTCGAAAGATCTACAACAGCAGGTAGCGGAATCCTGTAGTTATATAGCAGTTATGAAAGTTGATATAAAGAAATCCGGTCTATACAATTTCAGTTATTCACATTCAGTGTTGAATGTCGACCTTCTCTATAAGGTTATCGCGCTATCAGCTTGAAATAATGTGGAATGGAATCCGGAAATGTCACACTCACAAAATTATCGCCTGTATACATGCATAAATTTATAATTAAAATGTGATTAAGTGCACTAAACGATTTACTTTAGCACGATATTTTGCACTTTATTTACACCAAGAACGATTCCAAGCAATGTTATATAGAGAAAAAATTCAGTTTTGTAGCTCCAAAGATGGCAACAACAGCCGGTTTCATCGAAGAGGAGTCATCAGGTGGGTCATGGGGAAGCACCTGATGATTCCACTTGGATCAAACAGAGGTTGTGAAAACCTTTTGAGTTTTGGGGTAGAAAACTATATCGTGTTTTTGTTGCTACTCCGTGTTTCGTGCCGCAAAGGCAATCATCAGGCAACGGCTATGATTGCCTTTACGGCATGAAACTCGGAGTAGCAACAAAATTATTTTAAGTATTAACAAGATTACTGCTCAGACGTTCAGACTGACCTGAAAATGACGACATACGTGCTATAGTACAATAGGCAACAATACAAATCGTGAACCGCAAGCAACTTGTATGGATTTTTTTTTAAAAAAAGACCTTTTCGGGAGCTTATGGTGCAAATCTATAATTATGCAAATGAACACAAGCGCACAACGGATGTTTATGAGTCTACAACGTATATATTTATAGTTGTTTATTACAAACTACGTTGTGTAGTCAAACTGTCAAACCTTTAACTTGTCCTTGTTTGTATTCCACTATATTGTATAAATTCGCTGGGTCCAAATTTTGGGGTTTTCACAAACACATTAATTCAACACGCAGGAAAGTCCAGAGTGCGATACGCGGTAAAATCCATGGGAAATCGGCACAATTCTTTCAAAATTCAATGAAACTGTGTGAAATATATATAGATCACTCGGTGAAAAGCCGCAATTTGGAAACTGAACTGAATATGTCACTGGAGCACTCTACCCCTGGAGTTCGGAATTGTGCGCGTGCGTACAAGTGTGTGGGCTAATAAACGAAAAATGTACCACAAGCATGGCATGAGCCGGCTATTACGTACATAAATAGGAGCTTGTTACTCTAATATTTAAATCAAGGAGTCGATGGAATTTTGGCTTAATGTAATCGTTGCACCCGGAGCCTGCGATCATAGATATCTCATATACACTAGATTGCAATGGCATAACTACTATGGGTTCAGACCGGGCAAACCCGGGGGCCCCCAACTCCAATGGGCCAAATGCCACCGCCTCCCCCCAGGCTCCTGCTGTAGAGCAAAAACAATGGCCAGGGAGGCCTCTGATATGTTACAATGTCGTTTTCTGACCATCAGAATTGTGTATAATCTCTCCCCAAAGTCCAGGAAATGGCGTTTCAGAGATTCTAGATTCAAAAATTTTCCGCGTGAGCATGCCCTGGACCTCTTAGAAAACTCGTGCATATACGGCGCTCAAACTCGTGCCTTTGCCACTTCCACTTGGGGGGCCTTCGAAAATTTTTAACCGGGGGCCCCCTGATATAACGTTACGCCACTGCTAGATTGTGCATCTAATTATTCTGCAATTCAAAAATTGAAGCCGTGATTGCAGTCTCAGGTCGTTCCCATGAAATGAGAAGATTCGTATGTTTTCTATTTCCGTCTTAAACAGGGAACTTAAACATTAAGTTAAACCTATTCCAAATACGATTTTAAATTATTCAAATGATGAAAGTTATTGTTGTTTTTAAGCGTTTTTAGGAAGTGGGAACGACCAACATGGCCGCCATCTATTCAAATGGGGGTAACCGCTGGAATATCTTAGCTTCAATTTTTCATTAAAAGAGATGCGCTATCTAGTGTATATAAGATATCTATGCCTGCAATGCGTTAACGAAAACTCGATTTCTCGACGAAGAAGAAAACAGGAGAAAACAGAAAGTCAAAACAGAAAAAACCTTTCAGGTCAATGTAATTTTGAATAAATCGCTCTATTTCCGCCGAATATTGAGAACTCTATACTACATACTGTACGTTCGAAAAAACTGAATTATTATTTATGTACTGTCATTAATGTTTCATATGTAATAAATTAAATTAAATTACATATGCATTTCACGGTTTTCGGAATTAAGATGTAAGCTTGTGCATGACTTAGATTTTCGCCAGAGGGGCAAAAAGAAAGAAAGGAGCATAAATGTCACCAATATCTTAATTTTGCATTTTTCGCCTTGCTTTTAGATTTTCAGGTAAAAAAGGAACAATTGGAATAAAAACAAGTTGTATGACACTACCAGAATCCGCAGAGAAATCCTGGAAAATTAGCCAGAGCGTTGACTACCTCGCTCTAGTCAAGTAGTTAAAGTACTACAATATTATACGAGCCATTTATTTCATATTGGAAAAGTGGTCTCACTGACGTCTGTTTCAAGACTATGTTGACAAAATCTTCTTGAAAGTCTTTCGCATGTTTAACAAAAAATCAACTATCGTGAATGTTTAACCAAAAAGCATGTTGTAAGACATGGACTCAGCCAGCCATTTGTATAAGATGGATTCACCCAGTAAGCGATTTGCACAACTGCACGGACTGAGTTCACGTTTTGTATAAATGGACCTGGTTCACGATTTGTATACAACACGAACGTTGGCAAATAATGGACTCAATCCATGTTCCATAAATCCCTGACTGAGTCCATATTTTCCCAGTTCAGTTCAGTTCAGTTCGATTTTAACCCGCGCATGCAACTGATTGCGACCTTCGCTGTCCCACTCCCATCTGAAATACATGACTCAGGTCTTATATGACTCTCATTATCACGCCCGCGTCTGATAGTTGTAGGCTGTCTGGGATATATATAGGCACAGATTAAACTAGTTGAAGGGTTTTGTAGATGGAAATATTTATCGACTGTATATTTTGTATACATTAATTTATTAGACCAAGGCAAGGAACAGCTGCGAAAAATCAACTGTACGTCCTCTGGCAGGAGTCCAACATGCGGCTCCGGGATTCCGGTGCAGCGCTCTAACCAAATGAGCTACTGTATAGCAGAATCCAGTTGTCGAGCTCTAACTACAATCTCATGTATGGGCTCTGGGTATATGAAGATTTTGTCGCCATCTTACTCGATTGAGTAATATAGTTGAAGAATTTTGTATAGAATGTAAACCTTATATGCATGTGCATTGTTTACAGTACCCATACAACGCATTCTGGTTTGGCTCAATTAATACCGTTTTAGCATATACATAGCCTGCGTTCCAGTCCACCACACCGTATATGCTTATAGCATTCTAAATATCATCTTTAAATATAATACTGCAATGAGCTTTCACCATCATGCCATCTTGAGTTATATATAGCACAGTGACGAGCCTTTCATTTTCAGCAACCCAAACACAGCAGACCGCACACATCTCAGTGATTAGAATAACAGTGCTTCAGTCACTGCTTCCATTTGTAGCGTATGATCTGTGGCTTAAATTAGAGGATGCTGAGAAGCCGAAATGTTATAGTGATGAGGGAAAATTAATAGAAGGCTCACAGAGAGATGATCCGTTGAACACGCAGAGAAAATAAACAGAAAACACAATAGGGGTTTGCATCAGTGGCATGACAGTGAAATAATTATATCAAAGAAGTAAATTGAACCAGTTGGGAAAACGTTGTCACGAGACGTCATCGTGAGTCAGCCATTCTCTTAGTGCGAAATAATATTGCGGTTTTAAGGCGCTAATTGGAAGATAGATCATTATCAGCGGAATAAAACTATCCTACAACGCTGGGTTATAAATTATAGCTGATTTATCAATTAACTCTACCATGCATGCGATTACGTTCAGTACTTTAGTTGATTTCTTCCTTTCTTTGTTTGTTTATAATTGTTCGCAATGCTCCCCACCTATAGGTGTTAGGAAATGTTCAATTACGCAAACTTACAGATTATATAGCTATAGCTATACTATACTATAATATAGCATTAACACTTTACACAGCGACACTATCGCATATATATTAAAATGGACAGGGGGGTGTTGGTAGGATTTATTTTGCGCAAGATGCTGACCGCCGATTTCTTGATCTGAAAGATTTAGCCATGGGAAAACTTGTTCTCAAACATAAGGAAATGGGGTGAACACAGTGTGCTCTGCAAGACGAGGACGGTTCATTATAATTTTGTTAGCATAGGAAGGATTTCTCTGTATTGGTGTTATGTACTCAGGTGAATATGATGTTTGTGATGTTACTCTGGAGGAAGGATTTATTCCTTCATTTACATGCAGACTGTTCAGGGAAGCCTCACATATCGATTTTGTCCATGAGAAACGTCATATGTTCGTTTCTCTGGAACCCCCACCCCCCTTAGAAACGTCACACATAGTTATCGATATTTTGTTCTTATAGTACACATAAGGTAATTTTCTACTATTTTTTTCGGTCGGCTGTTGGCGATGCTTCCGCGAGGAATATGTCATCCTCTGCTGACATACTCTTTTTTTATTAATATATATATGAACTTCAAAATTTCCAACGTTTCTCAAAAACAACATTTTTTTTAAATTTGAGTGTTTTCAATGCAAGGAAGGCGTATTAATATAAATGTATAGATATAGAACAGGTATAGTATTACGAATATAAAGATTGAAGTCAACCTTCTTTAAATTTAAATTAGGTAAATATATTAAATATATTTTCTGATGCATAATTATATGATGCATTAGTAAAAATGTAGATGATATTAATAAATACTGAAAGAGAGAATCCATATTTCTTGAAATCATATAGTCAATAAAACGTGATGTAATACTATCTGAATATGAAAGATCTTTTTGACGGAATCTTCCATTTCCGCAATGCCCCCGCCCCCCTCCCCCCCCCCCTCGCGTTGCTACCACCATACCGCATGAAAAAGGGAGGATCGATTGCCTAACATGGACACAATTACATGTAGTGCTGCATTTAAAGAAGTTCCGGAATATCCAGCCGCGGAAAATAATGACTATACTGC